GACATTCATGACTATTTTCGGTTCTGAATTGCCTGTTGTCGCCATCTACTACCTGGAACCATCGTCATTTGCGGCGCGACGTCGCACGCGACGCCTACCAGCGCGGTGAATTACTCTCTTGTCACATACCCTCAAACCTGAGCAGAAGCGAGATAGCCGCTCGGTCCCTCAGGATGCGCCATGTTCAGGTCAGAGACGAGCTCGCCCACTATTTGCGCCTCACCCGTTGCTTTCCAGCACTACTTCCTCAATCGGACAAATCTTTGATAGTCTCAAAGGAAGTCTTTATCAATTTGGGCCTCCAGTTGTTCGGTCTGAGAAGGATCAGCTTCAAATCGAACTCTGAGGTACAGATTCTGTAAAGTATAACCAACCGAAACTATCATTCCTTGCAGAGAATGAAAAGGTAAAGCTCTTGTGGACTGTTGGGGCCAGCCAATGTAGTAGGTTGCCCCGAAAATTCGTTGACATTTTTTGAATCTCGTATCAGATCTTTTCCGTAGCCATTTCGAGATCCAGTTATGTGGTCTATGGGAAGTGTGTTAAGTAAGCATCCCACAGCTTCTTTACCGTCCCTCGCAGTCGCTGTTCTCATATCCAAAACGGCAATAGAAATTCATCATTTTCGACAACTTTATCACATCATCATGAATACTGCAACCCATGCACACAACGTGGTTGGAGCACACAAGCCAGTCATTATCTCTGAAATTAGCTCGCTGATGCATACCATTCCCAGTACCCGGCCGCTTGAAATGGCCGAATCAGTAATTATACCGCCTTTGAGTACTTTTCCTGTCTGACGGCGGGAAAAACTCGTCCAAGACGAGAGCCCTGCACTTGGATTTGAGCTACAGTAGTTCCTTGAGATAAACACAAAATTACAGTACAAACTTTAACCTCACTCTAGTCCTATAACCCTTATTGTTCCAAAGCCACCTCAATGAGAGAGCGAGCTGAGATCCATAACAAAGTTGAAGATCGGTCAAAATTATTTACTCAATAGTTGACAGATAGACCCAAGGGCACATAGCCCAATCATAACCAGTGGAGCGTATACGACTGTATGTATGGGTAGGGTATCTTCCCCTGCCCAAAACGCAGATTCCTCCCTTCCAACGCTGTCGTAACCAGGGAAAACTATTGTATGTAATCAACTGCGAAGGGGGGTTGAAAATCGCTACCATTTGGTCCCACAAACCGAGCAATGTTTGCCTACTCCACCACAGCTCAGGGTCATTTGGAAAACGACACTGCTCGAGATCCCGAAGCTTAGCTGGGGAATTCCACCACAGTCTTCGTGTAGCCCTGACTTAGCTCTTTCCGATCGCCATCTAAACTAATCCCACAGCGGCCATCTTCTGGGTAAAAAAATACGATTTTTGATAGTACCTCAAAAATGACCCAGCTGCCTTTCTGGGCACAGAACCAAGAAGCTTCTTGGAAGCAAGGCAAGCACTCATTGCATGACATATATATATTAATGGTCAAAACTGCTTCTCACTGGAATAAACTTGACCCGAAGAAAAATGCGGATGTTCCACGAACTTTTAGGAAATAATAAAAGTCAGGAAAGCGTACTCACCAGGGGAGCGCGAGGTGCGGGTTCAAGTTGAGCCTGGGTCAGAAAATTCGTTAACTCAGCATTCCTGTGATAAGTTTCGAAAGGTGAACCGCGGCGTAAAATAGCAATTATCGTGATGGATCCAACCGCAAAAAATAGTGCATCTATTCAAAGCACTTCATGTGCAAAATTAGGTGCTACGCAGCTCTCCTAGATCTAGAACGGGGAAGAGTTTCGGGATGGGTGGAACTTTTTTTAGGTTGAAAAGGAATTTTGCGCTACAGTCAAAATGTGTTGGGAACCTCTCAGCTTGAATTCGGGAAGCCTCTGACGCGTGACTTTTCTAGTCCATAAAAAGAACTACAGTGGGGACAGTTTCCGGTCGTTAAGGCATCTATCTCATTGTTACTTCAGCACTCGACCTCCAACTATGTTCTATTTATGAACCCATTCGTGGTTTTTGCTCCGTTAATGAGCCCCATATTTCAACCTGTTAGTCGATTGCAGCCGGTTATGGTAGACTTTCACTACGAACATGAAGTGATTCACTACCACTCCACAAGGGAATGAGTCTCAAAAAAAACCCATACACACAGTGGGCTTGGTGGCAGATCAGCAGTAAAATATAATTACACATCAAAGAAAACCTTCAAACGACCGTCCATGAACCGGTGCTAAAGCATTTTTCCACTCGTCAAAGTTATTCGCTTACGGACTTAACCAGTCACAAAAATGACAGTTCCTACTCACACCAGGTTCAGGGGAACAAGAATAATGTAAGTTCAGAGTATTCGCGCAAGAAAAGAAGGGAGAAAAAGGAAAAGTTAGGTCGCAGATCAGTTAGAGTGGGCAATTCGCACTTTCGCGGCTTAGTGTTGTCATGTTCATTGCTTTACAAGAGTTGACAGGTACTTCTTGACATGAGCAACAAGTAAGTTCTACAAGTTTTGCGGTATCACCTCATGACTTTCCAAGAGTTCACAAGCCTCTGTTGATGGCTTGACACAACAATGGGAAGTAGCGAAAGCGCAATTCCCCCCCCCCCGCATGAGGTCAAGCAGTAAAGATGAAAGGAAAGCAATAGAGAAGGTTGCGCGGTCGATCGGCCAAGATCGCTTTTGGAGGAGTAGAAAATACAAATGGGGACAGGACACTCATTCGTCGGACCTAAAGACACGTTCCACGATTACCTGGCAGCAGATCGCCTCCGGATATTGGGTAGTTACGCCCGTAGTCGTAAAGACTACGCCTCTTTTGTCGACTGAAGGTATAAGGGATCCAGATGCGTGACTCGTGGTTTTTAGAACCAGCGTTCGTCAAGAAAGCCATTGCAAGGACGACTGTACGGGGCGGTTAACTACCGTGCAGTCGTTGCCTGCAGAATCGTAAGACGATTTCATGCGCTCTTCGTTGGGATCGTTAGCCTACCCACTTTGACAGCTTCCGTGCTCAGAAGTACACACCCATTATCCCTAAGACGGAGTAGGCGTGTGGGTTCGTGGGATTTTTCAGTTTGAGACAAGGGTCACACCGCCAAGTTTACTTGAAGTACGCCACAACTCAGGGTTTCGAATTCAGAGCTATTCGGCTTGGCGGGGGCACCAAAGTACTCAACGAAGTCATAGCTAGGTAGCTTTTGGTCATCCTCTGGAAACCTATGAACTACTGCGAATAAAGTAGCGCCCTCGAGCTACTTTGCAGCTTACACACGTTTCAGTTGGATAAAAAGCTACTTAGTACGTTAACAGCAACAGAAAAGCCAGAACGCTAACTTTGAAAGGCCGAAACGTCCCCTGTGGCAGAACAGCACCAGCTTCCTGCTTTTCGTGACTACTACTTTTGAGAAGGGGAACACTTAATAAAGAGCAATCCGCTCTTTACAAGTATTTTCTTTCATGAGCTTCTTTTCTAACTGAAACTCATTTTCGCTGTCACCTATTTCTGGGAGGCACTTTAGTACGGAATGACCGGCGAAGCAATGATTGCGAAAATCTGGGCGGTGCCACACAAAACGGACGTTGTATCGATTTCTGCGCACGGAATCAGCCGGGAAACTCGTACACTGAGACTGTTAGGAGACCTTATGATAGCGACCAAGGCAGTGCTTCTTGCTCATCTTTTGGAGGATCATCTACAGGGGGGGGGGGGGAGGCTCTCGGGGGGCAGCAGAAAGTCACTATCTGACCAAGTCACACTATCAGCAAAGTTTTCCGCTGCCCAGGCAGAGCAGAAGACCGTGGAACGAGTACCAGGCGCGACACCACCTACTCACACCTGTTCTTCGTATGACAGGAGCGGCCTTGCCCGTCACCTTACCTCCTACCCAAAAAATGAAGTCATCTCCAGTCGCAGCCTGACTGGAGAAGACCTTTGGAATTCATGTCACCTCCAAACAGCTGCGAAACTTCTAGTATGGAGTCACCCATGGGTAGCTACCTGGAGACCAGTACTCTCGATCTGGAAGATCCACAGTCCGTCAGCCAGCTCCGACAACGTCGCCACGCCGTCTAGGACATCATCTTCACCGTCAGCCATAGGCGCGGTTGCATGCATATGGGACCGGACGTACCTAAAAGGGAAAACCCGATATTTCTTCGTGGACCCCGGACTGAAGGTGAGCGCTGGCGGTTACATTGAGCAACTCGTGAAGAATATCCTTCTCACATTTCGTTGCCCGTACCTTCTTGGAAACTTTGTACTGCTACAGCATTGCGTGCCACCACATGGAATCGAAGGGCGTTGGAGAAATTCTCGCCTACTCGGAAGGGAAGGGGACTGAGTACCTAAAGAAGATGGAGGAATATCCAAGTAGGTCACCTGACCTGAATCCCTTCAATTACTTCGGGCGGAGTTCAATAGGGTGGTCTACGGTGGCGGAGAAATCGACTTGGCGGAGAAATCGACTATCTCGCTGATCTCAGGCACCACATCGCGGTCGCGTGCCAGAATCTCTCGATGGCGCTCGTCCAGAAGGCTGTGGCGGAGTGTCATGATAGTATTTATATGCTCTTTAATATGGTGGTAAAAATGTCCGATCAGAATTTAATAAAGTGTAACTTATAGCGCCTCGAAAGTCAATGAATAAAAGTGATTTTTTGCCCCCCCCCTGTAGATACTGCAGGTTCATTACTAAACAACACTACCCGTGAAGCTAACTGCAGGTACAATAGGACTGAATCGATTCATTCTCAACCTGAGCTGAAGATAACTGTTAAACAAAGAGAGCTCCAAAGCACTGGGCTCAAGCAAAAACTGACACACACACTACGCCTGTCACAAACGCTTTCTCCACGCCTATCATGAAATCGCTCCTAAGCGCTGCCAAAAAAGTTGTGGGATAATCTCGATGATTGTTTCAAAACTTGAAAAGAACCGCTTTTCTTGTTTGACAGCTGCGCTCTATAAAAGGAAATGTGTCAGCTAATCGGCTGCGATTATGCCAAATAAGCTCACGGTTGTTAATTTCGCATCTGCGGCCAGTGCTAGCCTACTCGTTACTGTACTACTTGGAACAGTATTCATCTTCAAGGATCTAAATGACTTTTTCGCAACTATTCAAGATGATATGACCGAATTCAGGGTAAGTAACCGTCTTGCTCCTCAGAATGATAATTACAACAAATTTGTCACGAAAATCCTGGTTCTGGATATGGTGGTGTCACTACGACTCCCCCCCCCCTCCTTCCCCAACACCAAACACCAAATTACCACTTTCCCCTTTTTCCTACAAGTTCCCAGTTTCCCCCACCAGATTTCACTCCCAAGAATTTTCCGTCGAGCGGGGGAGGGGGTATAGTTCAAATGGAACAGGAAAAATCACGAAAAGTCAACAGCCGGGAAATTTTTTTCCCAACGGGGCAACACATACGACCCCCCCCTCCCCAGCGGAAAAGTACGGCCCCTATATGTTCCACAAAACGATGCTGTACACTGTCTGGTCAACCGATTCACGCTCCTTGTCTGGCCTCTCTCGTCATCTCGACAGACACTTCACAAGTCCAAAATAAGCACACCAAAAACTTCTAAAATAAGCCCACCAAGAACTATCTTGGTGAGAAAGTACAGTCGAGCAGCCGGATAGCTGGTTTGGCCTGTTCCTTTGCTCCGTTTCTCCCGTAACTGTGAGAGCTGGCAAGCGGAAGGTGAGCTCGCGCTACCCCAGTCCTCTGACACGACAGTCCTACCCCGTCCTCTGACAGGAGCGCAGGGGTTAAGACTGTGCGAAGCGTGGGTAGCGAAAAAATCCACCTGATCGTACGCTAAGTCTTCAAGGTTTATTTGTTGTTTCGCTTGTTCCACTCGACGCCTGCTGTTTGTCGCCCCAGGTCAGTTTATGTGAGGGTTATCGCAAGGCTGCTGAGTTATAGGCAAAAGCCTTTGCCCCCTCTCCCCCCCCCGTGAGTCGAACCTAGATCTCACGTCTGCACATTGTGTAAAGACAATGCTAGTGTATGGTACCAGACTAGGCTGGACAGCTTGAGTTCCAGCGAAGCGCTTTGCCCGTAACTCAGCAACTTGATGTCCTGTAAGCTGTAGTTATATTTGAAAGTAGTGCAACATTTGGAGAGGCATACCTAATAGATCTTCGACAATAGGCGCCTAAATCAAGTTGGCGTAAATACGTGCCGCGACCGCGCGCGTCCCTGGTCGACTAATTCTGCTACTTCTTTTGAGAAAAGTTTCCTTGAAACAAGTACATTTCCAATTCAACTGCTCAACTTTGGAAGTCTATCCGAAATTAGACACCATTGCTATCTCACGAACTTTCTCTTTCAGACAGTTTCCAATGCTGCCTGGACGTCGATGGTTTCAAAACTGCCTCAGAGGACCTTGACAGTGGACATTTTTCATCGCCAGAAGAGGAGTTCAGATAAATGCGATTGCGAGTTTGTACATGAATGTCCGGACGGAATTCCGGGACCACCTGGAGAGCCTGGAGAAGACGGAGTGGAAGGAGATCCGGGTCTCCCTGGATCAGACGGCAAAACGCTAGTTCCAGGAGCACCGGGTCACTGCATTCGCTGTCCGCCTGGAGAGCCTGGATTCAAAGGGCCTCGTGGCCCAGAAGGGATGATGGGTGAACCAGGAGCACCAGGAATGAACGGCTCAAACGGAAATCACGGAACAGACGGTTTACCAGGTGAAGAGGGAGACGTGGGTGAACCTGGAGCACCTGGAATACCAGGCACTCCAGGACGACCAGGACGTGATGGTGTGCGAGGAAGAGGATTACCAGGAGCTCCTGGTGTACCGGGCCCTATGGGACCGACGGGAGAGCCAGGCCTTGATGGAGAGCAAGGTCAGCTGGGTGATTACGGAGAGATGGGTCCTGTAGGACCGCCTGGAGATCCGGGATTCGATGGTTTTCCCGGAGCACCAGGGGAACCTGGACAGCCAGGATACCCTGGCGCTGCAGGAGGCATGTGCCGTTGTATCAAAGAAGATGCGTTTTCTAAAGTACATTCAGGAGAAGTGCCAATGAAGAGCTGAAGAACTGGGTAGAATCTTCTCAGGAGACCTGCAAAAGCTCCCAGCTGTAAATTATTCACAATTCACTGTTGAAGTTCCAATTCCTGTATAAACAGCTGTTTATGTTGATGGAAATTGTGTTTATGATCTAATAAATCAATGATATCTAAGATTGTCGAATTTCAAAGTAAACAAAAATACTCAGGAACACTTTGAAGTACGTATCTAGTCCACAAAAGGCAAATGGAACCGAGAGTCATTCCTCTTTTCTAACGCTCCAGGCACTATTCAAGGCAAACCACATCATCCTTATGGGAGGAAAATTTCGGAGCTATTCGGCTTAGGACATTTTGCACATTCGCTAGTTAACTTTTTTGGTTAAAGTTGACCAGTAGGTCCTATTTCAGTGAAACCTGTAAAGCCTCTAAACTCTTGTGAAGCTGCTCACCATCAGTGGTACTCACAGCCAGAAACAGCTCTGAGGTTTTCAAAAAATGGGCTTGTACAGCTTTTGCTGAGTACCAATCATTACCCTCACCAAGCCTGACTGCGCCAGAACCTATAGGCGATCCACACCCCCATCCTCACTCCGACGAGCGGAGGAGGATTGACAGACATTCGTTCAGTTATCCACTATATGCTCTGAGAAGAGTCCTAATTAACCATGAAAAGATTTTCAACAGGATCAGCATATACCCCTATTAGAAAATGAAATGAGACCGCCCCCCTCCCACCCGAAAACTCTCAACGGTAATGTCCAATAACTAGCAACTCACGTCTCTTTCACTATTGTTGAAGTCTGTGGATCGAAGCATACGAGGGAAAAGCACTGAGGATAAGTCATTAACCATAGCGGGATCAAAGGGCTGGCCGGATCTCCAACAAAACACACTTGAACTGCAGTAGTATCACAAAAATCTTGCGGCACTAAACGGCCGAGAGTACATACCTAAAAAGTATATAATTATTGGTATGCGTTGGGGAGGGAGGTCAAGACAATCGTGAATTGCTGCTCCGCCGCGCGGCGCGACAGGCGAGGCGTTTTCAGCGCGCGAACTACGATTGTCTTCTCACAAGGGAACTTCCCATGGAACTTTGAATGGAGACCTAGGTACATCGATAGAGCCTCGAATGCTGATTACGAATATGCAGATTAAAAGTGCTACGGGGACCTCCCAGACGAGATCTGGGTGGTCAAAGTTTGAGTTCTGGCTCGTAAGCGCTGCTGATCGATGCCTCGGCAGTGCCACCGTGGCCTCGTGGTAATGGTCTCGCTTTCAAGTCAAACGCATGCGGGTTTGCATCCGGTTGGCGCGAAAATTTTTGCTTCGCTCCGTATAAGAGCTTCAACTCTAATTTTCGAAATTCTTCCGAATTTACGGCCCAGCAGGGCAAGTAGATCAAGTACATCAAGTATACGACGTACTCGATCTAGTATGGATTTGGTCATATCTGCCCTCTCTGAACATATTACCCATCCGACAATTCAAAGTTTTGCCCAGAATCGCAATTTGGCCAGACGAGCGTTTTTTCGTCGAAGGATGTGATATTCGTGTTCAGGGGGTCGAAATCTCCCATGAACGAATTTCTCGCTAAAACTTTGAATTGTCGGATGGGTAATATGTTCAGAGAGGGCAGATATGACCAAATCCATACTAGATCGAGTACGTCGTATACTTGATGTACTTGATCTACTTGCTGGCCGTAAATTCGGAAGAATTTCGAAAATTAGAGTTGAAGCTCTTATACGGAGCGAAGCAAAAATTTTCGCGCCAACCGGATGCAAACCCGCATGCGTTTGACTTGAAAGCGAGACCATTACCACGAGGCCACGGTGGCACTGCCGAGGCATCGATCAGCAGCGCTTACGAGCCAGAACTCAAACTTTGACCACCCAGATCTCGTCTGGGAGGTCCCCGTAGCACTTTTAATCTGCATATTCGTAATCAGCATTCGAGGCTCTATCGATGTACCTAGGTCTCCATTCAAAGTTCCATGGGAAGTTCAAACCATTCCCTTGTCAGTGCCCCGTATACGTTAACCAATCAACAATGGTTAACAATAAGCTCAAAGGCCACCGAGTATGTCTGAAGGAACAGGATGCGAGCAAGAGGTCCACTGATGGCAGCACGCTCAAAAGTATCGTTACAAGTGACGCGAATTCACATCAGGACCTACTCGATCGATTCAACGTGCTCATATGTCTAGTCGACTAGCTAGGGAATACTAGTCACAACGTGGATCTCCTGACCCACACCCCAAGAAATGCCTTGTAAATAGTTTTTTACCAATGAAAATTCACTCACCATACCACCACTCTCGGCCGGAACGTCCCTTCGAGAGGGATCAATTATATCAGCGCGGAACAAGAGCTGCTCCTTGGGAATGTCATGTCGAACAACTTTCTCTAGTTCACCTGAGAAAAAAATTAGTTGTGTCAAGTAAGATCCATTGTAGATCAATTACCTATATTCTCTGAGTAGTATGCATCTGTAAGTAGAAGTATTGGAAGGGAGAAATCCTCCGTGAGATAATTTCGTACATCGCCGAATGCTGTGAGATCTACGGGGAAGCTACCGAAAACGAACCTGCAAATGGGAGGTGCTAGGACCACTGAAGATTTATGAAAAATCACAGAAAAAATTAAAAACACTTCAAGTAGTCACTAATGTAGTTCGTGGGTCAGGGGGTAGGGGAAGATGGAAGCGTGACTGAGACTCAGGAGGGCGTTCATACCCTACGCCAGCGTTTTGAGCGACCAAGCGAATGTACGGGTATCGACCCAGCGTACATACAAAATACTCGATCGATACCTACTTTTTCTACGCTAGTGTACGCTCGAAAGGTTGGATTGATGCCTATGTTCCTGATTGTTCCAAACGTTCAAAACATAATCGTGCCCTTAAAATGCTGACGTGAAGTCTGAACGCAGTTCGGGGCGGCCCGTCTGCTCCTCCCGTTGACCTAGAAAGCCTTTCTTTACACCATGCACAGTCTTATAAAGGCGCAGACGTGCAGAGTCACCGCGAAGCAGCCTCGTCGCGGCCTCTCCCATCCCCAAACACACTACTGCAAAAAATGATTACTGAAAAGTTCGAAGACTTACAATAGAACCCGACGTCGGTTACACGATGCCTCCCTACCCCTGAAAGCACCTTCGGGAGAACTATAGTTCCGTTCCAAACAGGAAAACCAGCTCAGACTGTGTCACGCCCCGGAAAAATTCCGAAGCAAAACTACCCCCCCCCCTCCTGACATCGTGCAAAAGCTGAACTATGTTGGAGAATGTTGAAGAAATTTCCTTCAGAGAACAGCCATTTTACTAGAAGCAAGACGACATCACCGGAAGGATGTGGATCAGGGAATCCGAGTTGCAGTGACAGGCAGAAACTAGGTCGGCAGCGTCAAGCATCTTCTAGCTAGTTGACTCGACTTATGACTTTCGAGCCAACCGCTCCAGACCCTGATAGAAGTGGTGCACGCGCGGCGGTACTAATAACGCCGCCTTCGCCATGCCACCACAACACGGATGTCCTGATCCGCAGTCATCTCAACTCAAATGAACATTTATAAGATACAAAAAGAAATATGTAAAGAAAGCAACTAAACAGATCAATGAATCTATTCTTAAAAAAATGGAAAAGAAGGAGGTTCCTACTTGACTGGAATATTCTCCGTGAGGGCGCTCAAGCAAGCATCACCATAGTGAACGATAGCATCACAGGAAGCGTGCGCCGCAGCTACTTCGTCAACACAGCAACTATAAATTATTGATTTAATTGATTTATCATCACTAGGCCAAGAGTACAATCAACTCTTCCTTCAAGTATATGGGTTTATTAATCAAGAGCGCAGCCAAGCAGTACATAGCGCAAGTGCTAGTAGATCCGTGATCGCCACTGTGGACCCACAAAATGCATTTCTTCCGCTCTGCATGGGAGAAAATGTATGAGAAAACCAATAAAATCCAATACAGGACAGATGAGAAAAAAAAGGCAGCATAAAAAAGAGGCGCATGTTTTCTAGTTCCTCTGATCATCTGCGCCCTC